TGGCAAAGCTTCAAAATCTTGTGCGTCTACCATTTTTTTTTTTTTTCCCTGAAAAAAAGACTCTGGGTCAAAGCAAAACTCACAAATACTGTAACTGGGTTTTGGAGACATTACAACCTGCAGTCAGATTTCACCTGATTGCCTAAAGCTACAGAAGATCTATAAATAAGAAGTCTTAGACTGGACTAAATTGTGGTGTACGTGGCAGAAATGTATCTAGGACTTAGTACTTTAAAAGTGATGACCCAAATGGTGAACTGATAGTCCACCTTAAAAGAGGAAAATAACATCACGAGGAAAGCTAAAAAGGCTTTCAAAAATAGATACTAAGGGGAGTAGAATACTTTCCTGTTTCATCCTCATTTAGCAAATAGTTTTGACTAACCCACCTTTTTTAGTATTCTACCCAGTCCTCAGGGGAAAATCCTTGCAATAAATAGACAGAAAAGCTGGGTAATGGAGGAGTTCTAATGAGATATTTTCATTAAAAAGTTTTTAATACACTGAAATGTTTCACTTTGACATTTGCTAAAGAAATAACCTTAACCTTAACCTTTCATACTCTTTCAAGAATTGATCAGCCCTGTAGAGAAAAAAGAAAATTTATATATATTTTTTAAAATAGAATCAAATAACTCAAAACAAAACATGACATTGACATTCAAAGGAAACACTGGCCACCTAAATTTGATTTCTCAAGCGACGGTGAAATAAACAGCTTATTTCCCAATCCTGCCAAAATTTCTGTTTTGATCCAAACCAGCTCTGCACTTCTGGCTTGGCTGCCAAACCAGAAAATGATTTTCTTTTCACTCAGTTGACTTCATCTTTTAAACTCAATTTTAACCCTTCAAACATTGTCCAGCCATGTCCACACATTTCATAGGAAGTTTCTTTCTTCGTGGCAGTTTAAACTGAAGGCTTAAATTCAATTTGGTCTCCTAAAATTATACTGACAGTGCAAGTCTGGATCTGAAATTTGTGGATTGCTGCACCTCAAATGCATTGGGGTCACATATCTCAGTCCTGATGGATCTGCTTGTTGCAGCTTAGGAAGTGTAGCAGTGTGCCAGTCCTACACCTGCATCTGAATTCAACCTTTATCAGTTTCAAAAGCCACCAAGACTTACACAACAAATGCAATCACATTAATTCAAGGCCCAAAAGTGGTAGGAGAAGTATTCAGCTAAAAAGAAATGGAATAGCATAAGGATGAGCAGCCTACAGCCAAAATATCAGAAAATAAAGAAGAATATTCGGCTTGGGAATAACCTATCCCAGTGTGTGGAATGCAAAGACTTGACAAAGCATTGGTAAGTAGCCTATAGATCTATACCAAAACTCTTGGCAGTATCATCATGTTTCCAGTCTTCATGGCTCTACCCACAGAGACTCATCAGACCAGTTCTCAGTCCACTCTTGTCTAACATCTGGTGCAAGAATGTGAACCCAGGTGCCTCAGTTTTAGACCTGCAGAAGTCCTCTTTAATTTCACTGTCCATTAGATCAGAGTGGTTTGTCTCTTGGACATGATGGGCTCTGTGGATGAAAACCAGATTGTGCAAGCTGAACCCAAGGAAGACGGAGATTATGCTGGCAGGCAAAAGAAAGCATTTTCAATAGTTTATGATCCCTCTGTGGCAGCCTTTCCATATTGTGAACAGCCACAAACAGTCTGTTCGGACAATGCTCTAGGAAAGACCCCAAAGCATGAGCAGAGAATGCCGAAGCAGAGATCTCTGCCATCCCCATTTGGCTAGAAGACTCCACTCCATCCTGGCACCTCATGTCCTGGCCTTGGGTAGCCAAGCTTTTGTCACCTTCTGTTTGGATTACAGGACTGCAATGACCCTTTGGAGAGTCCAGCTGGTACAGCTCACTGCAGCAATATGAACAACTCTGAGCACATCTTACTTGTCCTCTGCTGCCTATGCTGGCTCCCCACAGAACTCACAGCAAAATTCATGGTTTTTTTCTTTATCCTCATAGCCTGGGCCCAAGATATTAAAAAAATTGCAAAAAGCTCTCAGTTGCAAATTCTGTTCTTTGCCATAGTGAGAGTCTATCATAAGGGAATACTTCCTTGGCCAAGTGATGGAGTTTTCTTGGTGCCAAGTCTTGATATGGTGACAAGTATTGATTTTGATTTCTAGGGATGGTTCTTCCACAGACTAACCCAAGCCTTATGACTTTTCATTCGTGCTACCAAGTTTATTTCTTTAACAGTGCTAATCTTCAGCATAAAGGTGAGTTTGCTCCCTCTATGTATTTAAAAAAAGCAAAGTGAAAAGTACATTTACCTTAAAGAAAGTGCCTAAATCCTGCAATAAGGACAGAAGCAGAAGACGAGCATAGAACAGATGCTTTGATATTAGGCTGACGTTTGTGTAAGTGCTCAGATGCACATCTCTGTTTCCACATTATTTCTTTTTGACTGGTAGCTTACCAGTGCAAGAAAAACACATCAGCTCAGTCCACTTTGACAGACACTTCAAGACTTGTGCTGTATCTGACATTTGTTGTACATTAGAGAACATACACTTAGTTATCAAAATTCAGTCAATAAGCATAACTCGTTGGACCAGTGTCTTAAGATTTCCTAGGGAAGTCCACACAGAACTGCAACTTCACAAACAGCCCCCTCTTATAACACATAGTGTTTACTCAGGCCCAAAGCCACTTTTATTATAACATAAAGAGGGTGCTTTTCTCCCACTTTTTCAGTAACATGTCCTGTTCCTTTCTTAAAGAAGTTCTGATTTTGAGGGGGATGAGATATACTTTTGCTTGTATTTCTGAGCAGTGCTAATTGTTGCTTTGTCCCGGTCTTCTCTCTCTGGTCCCATCTTTTCTGGCCACTGACTGTTTTTGAATTATGTTGATCCAGTACCAGATTTCCAAGCATAGGAGATAGTTTCATAAGAGCACAAACTCATTGTTTTTGAGGCTTGGAATTATGGTAGATGCAACATAGTCCAATCCACCGACTTTCTAGTCTTAGGATTTGGAGAACTGGTAGAAAACGATAAACCATCTCTGACTCCTTCCAGTGACAGCTCATTCTCTCTTTCCGCTCCTGTATTATGAAATGTCTTTCTGGAGAGCTAAAAGATATATATTCTGTAGGTAGGAATAGGTGTTCACAGCAATGCTGGGCATTGAGAAACTCTAAGAGAGATGGATCTTTGCATGGCAGGAAGGGAATATATCCTGATAGAATGGCCTCGAATAAAAATGACAAGTGAGGTCCTCTTCCAGCATAGAGAAAAGTGATGTCCCCAGAACGGGAATGACACAGTTAAGCAAATCCTTAAAGCTAGGAAAACGCTGCAGAAAAAGAGAGGCACTGACGGATATCTGTTTTTTTTTGTTACAAACTCTGTTTTTCAACATAGCCGCTTTTCAAACACACTTTCCAAGAATGCTGGTGTGATCAGTTCTTTGTTGTTAGGTTCCCCCCCACCTTGAATACTTAAAAGACTAAGTGTATTTCAATGCCTTTAAAAGTCTTTCACATCATAAGAGATATACCTGTATATTTGTGCAAGCTGGAAATGAATGAAATATCACATGCTTCATTGGAACAACCACAAATAATCAAAGCTGAAATGAAAACCAAATATTGTGAAAAGACTATTTCGATCAGTAGTTGTTGTTCAAAATAGCATACAAAAATATTCCTACAATCCATTCTGAAGAACAAAAACACTGTAGAAATGTCAAAGCTTTTCCCAGATATACTTAGGGATGGACTAACCAAGACAAAATTTGTAGGGAAAGGTACCACCTTTTATTAGGCAGACAGAGAAAAATGGGGGAAAGAAGAGGCATGAGTTTGTTTTTCAGATTGGAAGCAGAAAATTTCAAGCTGTATTGTCTGTCTTAGATCTAAAATCAGTCCAATAAAAGACCTGTTTCAGTCTGTCTGATAAAACTTTGCCTTGCTGATATCCTTAGGCCATCACAGCTGCAACAACGTTCTTACTACATGTAAGGTATTGAATTCTTTTGTCTTATTCAAAGGCCTGGAAGGGACCATGACAGGTCATCTAGTCTGTCTTCCTGACTTCAGATCAGAATCAAATACACCTATGTCACTCCTGAAACTTATTTATCTAATGTTGTCTTAAAGACCTCTAATGAGAGACTGCATGACCTCCTGAAGCAATCTTTGTCTTACCTGAACCTTTCTTACTGCAATTTAAACCCATTACTCCTTTGTTCTATCCATCATGGCCATGGGGAATCACTTCCTCTCTTTGTCTTTTCCACAACCTCTTATGTTCTTGAAGACTTGTTATCCTCTCAGTTTTCCGTTATTTAAGTTAAAGAAACCCAGTTCTCCTACAGCTACCTCACTGGTCTTTTTCTCTAGGCTATTTCTGTCTCTGACTTTTATGTATTCCTAATTATTTCTGTTGCTGTCCTATAAACTCTGTGTGTGTGAATTTTTCTTGGAATCCCCAAGTACTATTTGCTCACCAGTATGGAATATGGTGCATGATCTCAAAACACAGTGAGCATAGAGGCTGATTTCACTCTTTAAGGAACAAGTGACCTTTCCTGCCTCAAATTAGAACCCCTAGAGCACAACAGCATGTTGGAACCCAAACCTGAGGTGAATGTATATGCTTTTCTCATTAGGAATTTTCTTTTGATCCCAAGAGAAGGTAGTTACAGCAGACTAAGGCAGGGTTCCATTAGGGGGAACAGTTCAGAGGCATCTAGCAGAAAATAAATATTTTGTACCAATAAGAATTTCAGTTTTCATATGGACATGTTGCAGGCTCTTAGCATTACACAGGATGCAGGAGGTTATTATTAGCACCAACTCTGCTTATCAGATGGAAAAGGCACAGTACAAAGAAATAATGAGATGAAGCCCAAAGCCACATAATGAGACATAAACATAAGGTAGACTAGAAAAGAAGATTTAGTGATTTTCCTTTTTTTCTTTTCTCCCCGCACTGCAGATTCTGGCACTGAATTTTTCTCTAACCTAAGGGGAAGATGATTAAGCCCAGGTTCAACCTGAAATCCACTGATGGAGACTGGCAGAGAAGTCAGATGAACAAAGAAAGCGCATTTTCCTCATGTATCATGACCAGAGTAATGCAGTCTATTCTGCTGGAGCTGTATCAGAGCAATGTGATGGAATTCATCTTCCACCCAGTGCCCAGGTAATGCCTGTACCTCTTTGCCTTCAACAAAATGGGAAAAGGATAAGCTCAGATTAACTTTCACAGGGTTTTGTTGCAAAACAAGTGTGTAAAAAATGGTTTTAAGTGACCTAGATGATGTCTTTTCCTATCAGTGTTTAGCAATATCTGCCTCTGTAGATGATGTAGCTGTTAGTACTGTAAGGATCCCTTAGGACAAACTTGTGTTGTAACACATTTTCTCTGCACCAAAGCCTACATAAATGTTAAATGAAGCCACTTTAAACAAATATAGGTAACAGAGGGAGAATAAGCCTGTTAACAGAATCAGCATTGCAGTCACTAAGTCATAATATTTTATTTATTTATTATCTCATAATACCTATAACAAAAGTAACTAGATGCTATAAAATAATACTTACAGACATAGAAGTTGAAATGACTCACCACATCCAACCCTTCATAAAAGCTCTTCTGACTCACAGTACCCAAAGAAAGAAAGAAAGTAAAGTAAGTATAGACCCTTTCCAACCCCAAACAGTGTTTAGTTGAATGCCTGGCTGAGCACAACAACCGTAGCATGTGATGTTTTCATAAACACAGCCTCCAAAAGAGCCTTAGATCATCATGCAGGGTGTGGACCTTCAAGCTGTAAGGGGGACAGAGGAAAGAAACACATGTTTTTCCAGATGTGGCCTGCTGTCAGCTGCTGGACCGAACCAAGCCAGATAATAGGAAAGGTGATGGAGAGGGCAAAAGTTGCAGGAAGAAGGTTCTCAGCACATCGAACACTAGCAAACATCATGGTAAATGGATTCAAAGCACTGCACCTTCTGCCACGTGAAAAACCAAAAAGACAGCAAAAGTAGGGAGCAGGGGTATCTGTGCTGCATGTTGAGAGTTAAGGTAAGTTAGGTAATTGTGAGAAGAAGAGTACTTGGTTTGAAATACAGAGAGAATAGATGTCCATGTCATAATAAGGAGCAGCAAGGGAATCTAAGAGGGCTTCTTTGGCTAGTATCAGGCTACACCAGGGGAAAAAAAAAAAAGAAAAAAAAAAGTGGCATTGAAGGGCTCTAAGCACAAAAACAGCAAATACAACTTCTCCCCATTATTCTCAGCAAAACACCTGATTTCCCCTCTTCTGGCACTTGTGGTCCACCACTCCCAAACTCAGCCTCAGCAATTTCTTTAACACTTACAGCTTGAGCAGATAGCAAGGAAAGAACAATGTGACCAATGAAAAGAAAATCAGCACCTTTTTTTGAGCACCTCTTTCCTCCATTTCACATCTTTTTTCCCCCTTTCCTTCCAAACCAAGACATGAAAACAGCATAATGCAGAGGCACTCAGATGGCACTGCCAACACGGTGCATAGGAAAACACATTCCCTCCCTGACTCTGATAATTTAGCTTTGTTTTAGTTTCAATCTAATGAACATTTATGCTGTAGCCAGTCTTCAATTTATACCCATCTAGTCCAAAGCACAATTATATGCCGAGCGTAAAATGCAGCTTTGACTCATAATAATAAGATTGGCACTGGGTCTGGCAGTTTTTCACACTTCATTTTCATGCCTGCAGCCATATCAGTTGGGCAATGATTTTGCCATATCTCCTAAAAAAAGGTCAGGCTGGCAGGCAGAGGGAATGACTGGGGGAGATGTAATATTGGAGTAGGACACCTTCTGAGATACCCAGCGAGTTCCAGAAAGGGATGTGGGAAGAGCACTTTCCCAGAGAAAAGTCTATGTTGAAGAAAAAAACATGACGTGCTTTTCACTCCGTGTTTGCTAATCTAAATTTCTCTGTTTTCACTCTTGCTTGGAGCAGAAGTTTCTGGTTCACATAAGCTCACTGGTAAGTTAGACCTTTTCTAGTGGAGACCTAGTCCAATGGTGCATTTGAGTGGCTTATGGTGGCAAGTGTGCTCAGAAGGTCATTTTCAACTACTTTAAAAACAGAGGTATTGCCTATTCAAAACACTCTGCAGACTTTCCACTAAGAAAGACGTTCTTGTGCTTAATTTAGAAAGTCAGGATTTATCAACAGTATTCTTGGCTTTCCCTCTGACTTGGTATGAGATACCACAGTCATTTTTTAATCTCCCTCTCTCTCTCTGCTTCATTTTCTTCATTAGTAAAATAAAGTGAATGATACCAAACTCTCCCAGGTAGCAGACTCTAGACTAGTCAGTGTCAATTGTAAATGTGCTTTGAGATTGCAGAGTGGAAGGTGCTAAAAAAGAGATGAAGAAAAAATAGGTCCCCTAACCATTCTTTGGAGTCCTCTCACAGTTTCAGCCTATACAGCTATTCATTTCCTGTCTATGTCTTGTATAAATGCTGCTGCTAAGCAATGCACCAAAACAGCTTCCGGTGAAGAAATCTGTTGAGCACAATGGTTCCCATTCATAGAATCATAGAATTGCCTATGTTAGAAGGGACCTTTCAGATCATCTAGTCCAACCATCAACCTAACACTGACAAAAACCGTCACTAAACCTTATTTCTAAGCACTATGTCTACCCATCTTTTAAATACCGCCAGGGATGGTGACTCAACCACTTCCCTGGGCATCCTGTTCCAATGCTTAATAACCTATAATTCTGGCTGGAAGGTGGCTATGAACAGACGGATTACTCCTGTTTGGCATCTTTTTTTCTCTTGGCTAAATACCAGACCCTATTGCATTTTCACCTGCTTACTGCACTGGGAAGTCAGCTTGTCCTTTGTGTAAATTCCTTTGTTTCTTTATTTTTTCAACAATGGGAAAGAGTTCTTACCTGGCCTCTTTGGGGGGGATTTCATGCACAGTTGGTGGTGCCCAGAAGGGAGAAGCAGATGCTATCGAGATATTCATGGTGTCCAAAATAGAAAGCAATTTATATGGACAATTAAGAAGAGCCACACGGGACTTTGGTGGTTGGAAGCTACAAGTCTGTAAGCAGACAATTTCTAGGACTTAAAAAAAAATTGAATTCACCTGAGGCCATGCAAGAGAAGAAAAGTTATATAGAGAGAAAAATTCCCAAGTTCATTCACCAAGGCATTAAGCTCCTGATTTGCAGTGGGAATGCAATATGTGGTGTCCTATCATCAACAGGATTTAGAGGACAGAGAAAGCAGTCATCACAAACCAGGTATGAAATTGTGACAAAGAGTAAAGGCAAAGCAAACCAGGGTCTTTAAAAGACTGTCTGTCCTGACCCTCATCTGCCTGTTACACCTACCCTCCTCTGATTCTCTGTGCCCTAGCTAATCCAAAATGTTTTCTCTTCTCATTCATGACATTGCACAGGAAAAAGACCTGATCAAGGGACAGAAATATGGTGGAACAGATTAGATGCCTGGCATTTATTTTCTTGTCATGGTTTTTGTTCTTTTGCCATTGGGCAGCTAGAGAATGTCAGAATTTTCTGTTGACCTGACATTTTTCCTGCTGCTTCATCAAATACGGGAGTTTCAGTTTCAGGCACAAAGGAGTTAAATCAATTTGCTTCTGAACAGCCCTAAGAAATCACTCAACTCTTTTAAAAGTCTCTGGGGAGGTGGTTGCTGTAGCCTGAGGGATGTGCAAGCTGAAGTTTCAGCAGCCACATTGACATTCGAAGCACAAATGTTTCAAAGAAGGGACAGAAATTATGTAATTTCATCCCTTCTCTAGATGACTATGAAGCTTAGTGCACTGCCTGCACTTGCCTTTTCCCTAGACATTGCTTTGGGCTGTCATGTTAGGTTTGGAGTCCCTCTGAGAATATGCTGCCTCTCAGCAATACAAAGAGCCAGAGGACGTTTCTCACTCAGATCTCCATAGCCAGAGTTGGCATAGGCTGTGCAGGAGCACTGAGAATTGACTCACTCATCACTTTTTTGCATGTGTAAAGCTGGGGCAGCTCAAAAATCCCCTTATGAACCATCACCCTACAGGATGGTGTGAGATTCTCCTCCAGTTCTTTGGCTGCTGAATTGAACTGTTTCAGCTGAGTAGCTCCAAGGCTTCTGCTGCATGCAATGTAGGATCTTGCAGGGCATTTCTTCTCTGGTTGTGTGATTTAAGTCATATAAAAACTCTAGAGACACCTTTCCTGAAGCAGCTAGTCTCTCAAAAGACTGAAACAACAATTTGAAAAGAAAGAAGGAATGGAGTGGTGAGACTAGATATAAGACCTAACTTAATTCAGGTACTGCTGAAGTCTGTATTTTTCCTGCATTTTTCATTGAGATTTCTATGGTGAAAGGAAGTATTATCCATCAAAGGACAAAGGCTTTACTTTGTTTCAGCATCTCTTACTTATCTACCCTCATCATCTTTTGTAGCCTGGATTCCCATCAGAAAGCTATTCTATGTTTTCATGTCCTTTTCCTGGCTGTTATGCCACTAGACCTTGGCATTGTCTGAGCTAAAGTGCTTTTTTCTCCTTTTCCCTTTTTCCTCTTGTTGAAATAGTATGTGTCCCACTCATTCTTTCCTCAGTACTGTTTCTGGCACAACACATACAGACCAGTGGTTAAAGTAGATGTCTGTGTTTTATGAAGTCTTTAATTTCTTGCTATATGATGTGTTTTGGCATTCTAAAGAAGAGTTTAGCTACTCACAGGTAACGCTGAAATTAGGGATTTCATGTGAGATGCAGTTCACATAGGGTTTGAGTCCTTGGTCTGAATCAGGAAGAAAGGGGACCTGAAGTTGTCTCTTTCTCATAAAATGAGCACTTGGTTGACAGATATTCTGCAGCAGAGCTCTTTCCTTTCCTGAGAAAATTTTCTAAACAGAAGTTTCATTGAACCCTGTTCATTAGAAGTAAATCATATGGTGTCTACAAACTTAAAACTTCCCATTTTATGGAATAGTCCAGAACTGGTTCTACTGATAAGGTCTTTCCAACAGAATGCCAAGAGAGACAGCAGATCCTTTGGATACTTGTGTTGCTGCTCTCCAGAAAAGGCACTACAGAAGGATTTATTCCCCAAAATAAAAGGCTAGCATGAAAAAACAGAGTTCATGGGCATCCTCAGAAGCCTAGTATATCTAGGCCCACAGCTCCATCACCTTGGCAGCCATGCGAGATGAATAAGTATGATACCAGCCTGCTGCTACCCAGCAGAACTTCTTGGCATAAGAATATCCAGAGTCTTCTTTGTCTGATGTTTGTCGTTAGCCAGGACACATGCACAAAGATTACTTCTTGCTTCCCCATTTCAGAACTGCCAAGACAGATGTGAAGGTCAAAGGAATGACGTGGCAGTGATGTGGCATGCCTCCACTCAGTGCGCATACATTGAAAGGCTTATTCCATAGGGATGGGGAAAAAAGGAAATGAAAGTTATTTCTTTTTTCTTTCTACTGGGTGCCAGGAGCTATGTTTTAGCTGCAACTGAGACAACTCTAGAGAAAGGGACTGACAGGCAGAAGGAGGGAAGTAAAAACAATAGGACAAGGATTAACCTGCAGAGAATAGGCAAAGAAATCAAAATCAAAAGAAATCAAAAGAAGAAGGTCAACAAAAAAGAAAGGGGAGAAAGAATGAAAGCAGAGGGAAATAACCCAACTAATTCAAAGGTAGGGGCAAAAATAAAGAGAGAAAATATTCACTGAACAGACATAGAACAGAAAGCAACCATATAAGCTATCAATTCCAGTGTCCAAATACTACAGACAGGAATGGAATAGATATTGAGAAACATCCATAACCTCTGCTTCAATCCCCATTCCAATTCTAAGTCAGAAACATCACAACTTTACAACACTTGATGCAAAAGAGCAAATGCTGCTGTGACTATAACATGTCCAACCAAGACAATGGGATGGATGAAGGGCCTTGGGAAGAACAGAGTCATGCAATTGCACGCAGGTGAGCACACTCAGATATTTTTTGCCCCATATGGCTGTAGAGGAAGCCCAGATGAGCAATCACTCTGAACAATCCTTGCTCTTCAGTCCAGAAGAAAATTTGTTCCTGATTCCACATCCAATCAATGCTTTTAATTCAAGACACATCAGTCAGGCAGTACCACTAGGAGCACCAGCATAACCCACCTACTATCCTGTCTTTAGCCTTGGCCAGTTTCTTATTTGGGTAATTTAATGCTTCAAAGGAAGATCAATTTGCCCTCTCCCCACTCCTCATTCCTCCCACCCTTACATACACATCCAAGAAAATAAAGGCCTAGGAAATGAAGGGACTTCCTTTTTACCCCAATAGTGGTCAGTGGGAGCTCTGAAGCATGAAATTAATTAATTAAAATATAAATGCAGTGTAATTCCTTCTATGAACTCAGCAAGCTCTACTTTTTAATTATTTAAGTTCCTTGCCCTTGTTATCCTGTATGGAAGGCCAGAACTTCTTTCCTTTGAAGTTTAGAAAACTTCTCCAGATTTCCAAGCTAATTTATACTCATCTGATCTTTTAGCAGTGCTTTTCGTCAGCTGAAACAATTCTCCATCCTGGTATTTACAAAGAGTGTATTTATGAAGAAAAACTGTACTCCCTCTCATCTTTCTTTTGCTAGTCTAACGGAGCCACCCACGCACACTTTTTAAAGGTCTGCCTCTTCCCCTAATCATTCTCACAACTTTTTACTATACGTCACTTTCCCTTTTTTGATCAGAAGTGACCCAAATTGGCCACAATATTTTAAGTGAGGCCTTCTCCGTCCCCCATCTCAGTGTACTGCTAAAATAATTCCCTTTCTGAAAATACCCTTGCCTGATACATCCCAGAACTGTATTAATCCTTTTCAAGGCAATGTCATATTCCAGCAAAAAAGGCAAAGAAAATATGAAGCAGAAAAGGGAGATGCTGAACAGAAACATGAAAGCATCCTGAGGAACAACAGACAATTCTGGAAGGAGAAAAAAAAAAACCCACAACTTAACTGCCCTGCAAACGTAAAGACATAATCAGCTTTGTAGAAAAGGTAATTCAAAGGAATAATGGAAAGTCAGAAAGCTGAGGCAAGGCACATCTGTACAAAATCACTGCGCTCGCTTTGCACGACCTCTCAGCTTCATGGCAAGTCTCTGACACTGCTCCCCAGTGTCAGCGTTTTGGCAAAAGCAGGGCTGACAGTGTCACGTTGGTGCTCTGAGTGTGAAGAGAGCAGGGCGAGGGGATCTGTCCCCTGAGTCCTGAACAGGCCCTTTGCAGCGGAGCTCATGGATTGTGTCTCCAGGTTGCAGAGCTTTTTGCCTGGTAATTTAAGAATTAGCACTCCCTGCATGTTTCTGTGTGTGCATGTGTGTGTTTTATGCGTGTGTGTGTGTGTTTGGCATACAAAACCAATGGTGTTTTTCTTGAGCCCTAAAATTTTAAGGCCAATAATTTTTAATAAAAATATTTCACTGTCCCATAGACATGCAAATATTGTCCTTTAACATGTGAAAGAATATAGTGGAAGATCTCAAAGTGTTTTGAGAATATTAATGAGAAGTTACAATAATCCCCAGGCAGTGTATGCTTATGTATCTTCTGTGTATCCCACAAGGAGACAAAGTAAGTCCTGCACTAAGTTGCCTCACACTTTCCACAGTGAAATGAGATTATGCTTTTTTTTTGAAGTCATTATTTTGAAGAAAAACTTCAACACTGAAGCATTTTGCAGAACTTTAAAACAGAAGGTGGGAGAAAGAGAAAGCTCTACGTTTTGCTGTTATACAGTAAAGCTGACAGGGTTTGCCTTGTCAAAGACAAATACATAGATATAATCCAACAAATTTTCTCATGGGTGGTTTGTAGAGCAGCATCTTTGCTTCTGCCTGTGCAGAAGGAAGCTCAACTTGCAGTAGACATGCGATATGTCAATTCATTTCCATTGTATTGGCAAGAAGCAACACATACAAGACAGATTTATCAAGCTATCTGATAGTCTGAGAGCCAAGAATTCTTCTTCCAGCTCTCTCCTCTACTCTCTGCTTTCCTCCATACACATGCGTGCACAAATAAAGGCAAATCTGCCACTCCTGCAAGCATAACACTGTAAAGTTCTGCAGTTTTATTGTGGGTGTTTATCATAAAGCATCCTTATCTGTTATCTGCTTATAGAGGAGGCTTTGGTATGTTATTTCAGAGTAATAGCCAAGAGCGAGTTAAATTGCATTAACCTTTAAAGCTGGCATTAATGGGTAACCGTGTCAGGAGACTATATTACTGTACAATTTCCTTTTGCTATTCTTATGCTGGCTCTGCATTTAGAGTATTTTTTGCTGTTAGTGCCATCACAGACTTTGAGCTCTGAGCACAGCACTCAGTGCTCTAGGGAAGCACTCAGCTGGAATAAACGTAGGACTGGCTTTTCCTAACCACTGGAATAAACGTAGGACTGGCTTTTCCTAACCACTGACAGACAACAGGAGAGAAGGCAGATTCTCATGATAGAGGCTGTACATCTTGGCCTTTGGCACAACCAACAGGTGATCCCATACATGCTCCACACCCATGATTCTCACCTGCAGTGAGGTGACTTCAGGGCCAGACTGCACTCAGAGCCTGAAGCTAGTAGGTTAGGACTTGCTATTGGACATACCAGTGCAGTATATAAGAGACAAGTCCCCTCTTATTGTTTCCCCCTGGAAAGAGAGACCTTAGAACTGAGATTTTAGATGTGGGGATTAAACCATATGAGCCATACTATGTTCTCTGTTGCTCTGAGGGAAGACTTCTGCAAGGTACTCCAAGTGTGCAAGCCCAATATACCAGCAGTTTTCCATGAACAGGGACAGCTGGAGCTACTCCAGATGTATTATGGTGTAAATGAAACTGGAATGTGTCCTACCACTTATCAGATATTCTCTTCTATGTATTAATTATACACGTAAAAGTCCTGTATTTAGGAATAATCGCAATAATTTATCACTTTCAGAGAACTGTAATTGCAAACACAACATAACCATTTGTCAGCTGTTTCAGATGGAAAGCAGTAGGCTGGGAGAAGGCAGCAGCCTCTTTGATCACATTTTGATTGGGAAGTCTCTTCATTACAGGTTTTGTTTGCGGACCCTCCTCCCACTCATAACTCTTCAAGCTTTTTTCACAAGCTGCTTATGCAAAGAATACCTGCATTTGACACACCTCCCACTAAAGTCCCTCTTGATTTTTGGAGGGAGAGCTAACAGAACAATGCACGATGGCCCCAAACAACTGAGGCCATGTTTCTGAAAATATACAGTTGACAAAAACAGCAGCAATCTTCAAACTTTTCACAAATTGGGAGCCATCAGATTTGGCATCTGGTAGACCAAAGAGACATTTCTTCTGCAAAGGGGATGAGGTCCAGAGTCAGTTGGAGTATTTCTCAGAAATAGTCCTTGTAAGAGCAGACATACCTACTCCCTAGATGTCTACATGTGGGACACACCTGGGGTAACACAGCAGAGGTGTATGTTACTTGGCTGCCATGGAGATGAGTACAACAGAAGAGCCTAAATGTAAGAGAACATGTTTTGTTTTGAAGCACTGTTGCAATAAAGGTGCATGTTAAATACAGAGCTGCTAGAGTTTCTTGCCAAAAGCTAACATTAATTGTTTAAATTAACATTGCAATTAACACGCAACTAAAATAAATTCCTTTTTCTTTTCCTCGTTTTCTTAGAACTGTCATAACTGTTTCACGAGCCTGTCCTGGGAGCACACGTGCTGTGCTGCCCTTTAAAGTGGAACCGTGAAGCCTCTTCTCCCTGGCTGACCAGCCAGGCTGGGCAGTGCAGGCTGGGGAGGCTTCCAGGCCTTTGCAGGCACCTAGCTTTCTGCTTTCTTATGAACCCCTCTTTTTTTTTTGTCACCAGGGTTGTGCTCAGTGATGTCTTTTTTGTCATCTCCCCAGAGAGGTCTGTCACAGCCCCTATCCAGGTAACCATTTTTTCTCCTTCTCGCTGTAGGGATTTACCATCAGCTTATGGTATCGACAAGAATGGAAGCTTGCACATCACTGAGTACTGGTCTGGGACCATGAGGTTTTGGGCAGCTTCCTAGGTGGTGAAACTTCAAGCTGGAGGGGAACAGATTTAGACTGGAGATTAGGAGAGGGTTCTTCACTGTGAGGGTGGTGGGGCACTGGAACAGGTTGCCCAGGGAGGTGGTTGAGGCCCCATCCCTGGAGATATTCAAGGTGAGGCTCGATGAGGCCCTGGGCAACCTGGTCTAGTTGGGGGTGTCCCTGCTGACTGCGGGGAGGTCGGACTAGATGCCCCTTGGAGGTCCCTTCCGGCCTGGGAAATTCTATGATTCTATGATTCTATAAACACATGGCACCTCCAAGTCTGACCCATTTTTGCCTGAAGCTATCAGTACACAGCCCTAAAGGACTCTATTAAAAGTCTTTACGTTTTTATTTCAAACAGCAGAGATTCACCCTATTAGTTCCAGAGGTGCTGGTTACAAGTCCCAGTGTGTCAGACAATAATAGTCACACGTGTACTTGCACACCAGTAAGCCCCTGCTTTGTGGGGGGGAAAGACTCTGGGCCTGCAGCACTACAGAGGGTTTTGAAACAACGTGTTGCATTCAGAGCTGTAATAAGGATCTCTCTCTCCCCAAGGAAATAAAGGGAAAAAATGACAATCATTGGTAGAAATGGTGTTGATTTTTCTTAAAGATAAATGAAATTGAAATTTGGATGGGAATGATGGATGCCGCCAGTCAGAGTTCCTCTTGTTACAGCAGCCAGTGCCTCTTTATGTACCCGTCTCATGAAAGTGTCAGAGATATTTAAAAAGAAAAAAAAAAAAAAAAAAGAAATATGCTAAAATTAAAATGGAGAAGAAAAAGTCATTTCACACATTTAATGGCATAATGAAGTCTTTTTAATGTAATTTTCTTTACTCTTCTGATTACATATTCACAAAGAGAATCTTCACTTCCATCTTTATTAGACACTGTGTTTGTCATCATTATGGGTTAAGTATTTTCATAAACATTTGATGAATATTAACCATTTAAAATAAAAAATAACAGTTTATTCTCACTGCAATGACTGCTGCACATGGAGATATTAATAATAGAGCAAGTCACATGAAATTACACACCCCTGCAGCCTCAGCCCTGTGTGCAAGGAAGCAATGCAAAGGCTGGGAGATGAGAGACTCTCAAACTAGCAAAGCTGGATCCTAGCTAGACCTATAGACAAGGCTGACAGAGATCACAAAAGACCACTGAATCGCCCTGTCAGAGACTTGGTGCTCCTCAGTCCTTTCTACAGGTCACATAATAACAGGCTGTTTCTTTGCTCCTTTCCCAACATGAGTGCATTCTTCTCTTCCCTGCGCTTGCAAGGGGCTAATCCAGCCCAGGCTTCAGTGTAACATCCTGGTTAATTTATATGTTGTCTCTAGCTGGTGCAAATGTCCTAACAAACACATTTTTAAACATGATCTGTTCTCTACAGCAGAGGAATGGCTTCCTACAACAAACAGTTCCAGAGCCAAGTGCCGCAAGAGGAGGAATGAACACAAGAAAAGACGGTCCAACCAAAAAGAGGTTGTCTGGAGTTGGGTAAAAACATAACCTGGTTAATCAGTTTTTAAGTAGAGCAGAAAAATGCAGACATAATGTTTTGGGTCAATAAGAGCACCAGTTGTAATGAAATTATAACTATATTTCATTTTGATCCTTTATTTTTATTAAGAAAGGTTTATTTCTCAATGACTGAGTCATTTTAAAAAAGGAAAACAATCATATGCACTGCTCGAACGTTGTCTAACCTCTTTCTCCATCCTGCTTCTGTTTCGTTTGCACTTTTATCCATTTCCCTTCCCCCAATTAACAAAATAAAAACATCAGTGATGACATCCTAATTTCCAGGAAACACACGAAAGCTCATTTCTGAGGGAAGGCTATTGTAACAAAAATACCTGACCTGTTTTTTGTCAGAAGGCACCTGTGTTCCTTTGCTTACTCAGAGGAAACAGGAGACAGCTGACACCTTGAGGGCTTCCCCACCTGTAAACCAATTTTTAGACAGCAGGTGCTGCCTCACTCTTCCCCATAAGGTCCCATGCCAGTGCCAACTTGCCCCGAGAGTAAGAAGACATAGAACACTTCTTTTTTTTAAAAAAAGAAGGAAAACAACATGCAAAAGGTGAGGGGAAAATGTCCACCTGTGGATCTTATGGTGCTTCCCTCCCCCTCCCCAAAGTGCAGAGCAATATTGCCGGTGTTGTCAAATGTTATTAGAAGGGCTGATGTGGGAAGGAGCAGAGGGTTACTCTTTGTTGCCTTCCCAGCCATAAACTGGGTCACTTTAATTAAATCCTGTAGGTGGGGGGTCCAGAGCATAAGCCTAAAGGGCCCAAAGGCCCAATTCAAAAGATCCTGACTTGGCCCTGACCGGAGAGGGTTAACAGAAGAATTACCAGTGGATGTTTAATTAGGATTTGAGCGATGGGTATTGAGTATTAGGCTGGGGTTTGTTTAGGGCTCATGTGTGCTCAAGTGCCAAGGTAATTTCACATTGTGTTTTGCTGCTGCATCCTCCGCCCGGTGCTGTGCGGGAGCTAGAGTAAAAGCTCCACCTGGAGACAGCAGGAGACTGCCTGCTTCCCCGCAGCCGATGCTGATGGCCAGGATTTGCTGGGAGAGCAGGGGGGCCAGGAATTATCTCCTGGCTTGCTCCCCGGCTGGCACTCCTCTTCCTCCCAGCGCTTAGCGCCTCTGAGTCCCCAATCCCATGGGGAGCCGAGCACATGCTGTGCAGGAGCAGTGAGTAATTGCAGGTCTGCAGCAGGGGTATGGAGGAGAGGGAGGCTAAAGGGAGAAGGAATATTTGAGCCAAAACCTCCTGCAGACCCCTGGCCACGATCTGTGGGAGAAGGCTGGTGCCTCAGAGCGACTTTGGGTCCGGACCACGCGCAGCCGCGCTGCTGGGTACCCGGTGTCACGGGATGAGGCAGCCACCCCCTCGCACAATGCCACCTTCCAGCACGCTGCAACCTGCTAGTAGCCAACGTGCCGTCTCCAAGCGAAGGATCCCACTTTTCCTTGCAGTTGCGTGAGAGGCTTTTCTGAGAAAATAAAATTAGATGTGATTCTCGGCTTTGGTTTGAGGCTCCTTTTCCAATCCCACTGTCTGATTTGCACCACCTCAACTGACGGCTTTCCCAAGAAAGCTGTTGAGGTCACTAGTACGACAGGACAAACAAGGAGGCAAGACGTAGCTCCCGGGAAACACTCACCCCTCCTTGTCTGGGACCTATTTTGAAATCCTAATTCTGAGCAGAAGTTTGCATCTTGGTATAACATTTCAGCTCCAGGACTGAGGTGTAAACTGGTATTAAGACTCAGGGTTCTGGACACTGTGAAGCAAATGGATCCTCATCTTTATGGCTAGCTAGTTAAACAGGTGCAGGGAGTGCTCCTGGTAACTGGAATTCAACCGCACACATTGCCAAACTGCTGGCAGAGCCCCTGGCGTGGTTTCAACCGAGGCCAGCCAGTAGCATCCCAGAGGACTCCTAGAAAAAGCCTGTGATGTAGCATGGGCCAGGGATCCTTTCCTGTAGGCAGCTTGTACACAGGCGCCTTGGCCTGGAGGGAAGGAGAGCTTTGTTGTATGGAAGCAGGGCACTGCAGACCAAACAGACGCAATATTGGGGAATTTGTCTAATTCCCTGCTATACAAGTAGGCTTTTTCACCACAAGTTTGCTCAGAACCAGTTAAGGGCAATCCCCTTCCAAAGACAGGCTCTCCCCAGCTGGGCTGAGCCCCATTAAGGTGTGAGACCTTCAAATGGACTTGGATAAGGCCTTTCAAGTGGGGAGGGGGACAAACAGATCTAGTTGAGGTTAGCAGTGGAACAAAGAATCTAAGATATGGAGAAAAATAGTCTTCTATGCTGTTAAAAAGTGGGTGCTGTAGAGCCTGGCTGGTGAGAACAGAGGTGACAAGAAGCATTCAGCTCTGGCTTGCATTCCCGTGTCTGGGAAGCAAGGTTCGGTATCTCTAAATAGTCTAAAACTAGACTGGTTTGTTATTAGTGGAAACCAAGCCCTTGCATGTTATTAGTCAGCAGATGGTGTATAAATGTGATGTCAGGAACCAATCTAGCACGACCCACAGCAAGAAAGAGGATGATTAAACAGGGAAATGAAACAGAGCCGAAGAATGTCACAAAAGAGTCAGCACAGAGGGACTCGGATCCCCAGCAGCATGGAGGCTTTAGACCACAGGAAAAAGCTTTGCCAAGGAAAAAAAAGCAAGAAGCAAGTCTGTAAACAGAGCTGACCACGGGGGATAAAGATGAAATGGAAGCAGACTTTTTTAGTATCTCAATCAGGGAGAAAAAAGTGACAAGAACTGACTGAAACGCTGAAAAGTGAGTGATATGCTATTGCCAAGAATAATGCTCCAAACACTGTAATAGCTGATAGAGGTACTGAGCGTCATGAACCCAGACAGAATAAGACTTCAGAGACATCTCTCGGTTGAAGGAAAAAACAACCAACAAACTAACTGAAAGCAGAAGAGGGAGCAGATGTTAGCGCCAAGAGCACTGTGCTCCACAGGCAACTTTGGAGACTGCCGTCAGCGACTCCTGGTGAAAAAGGCAGGTGTGTCTCTCCCCCGGAATACAAATGCAGTAGAGTCTCTCCTTACCCCAGCATACTCACAATGAGCCCTCATCTTTCTTTATTCTTGCCTAGAACAACTGATGTCCCTCAAGAACTAGCCCAGGAGGGCCAAAAAAGATCTCATTTCCTGACCCCTCACATCTATGCAAGAGACAACGTGTTTGCCCTCCTCTACTTTCCCACTGTTTCTCTGCTACAGTATCCTTGTCATTTCCAACAACAATGCTCAGACTCAACCCAACAGGTTCTGGGTTTGCCATTAAAAAAAATCTGTATCAGACTCCTCCCAGAGAGAATAACAGGTGATCTTGTCCCAAGGAACTCAGGGCTCTTTTCTAATTCTCTGCTTAACTTTCTGGAGAGGTTCAGCCTCCACCTTTTGCTGACCCATATAACCTGCTTGTCCAGCTGGCTTCAGGCAGAACCCTCCTAACCTAGTCCTGGTGGCGGGCATCTTCTGTTCCAGCCCCTTCAGGTAGATGGAGAAAAGGACAAACCATCTCCATCAGACCTGCACCATGAAATGTGCGGATACCCAAGTTATAGCCAAGCAAGCTCAGGTAGGTATCAGTGTGCAGCCAAGTAGAGAGGCCCTTTGGGGGGACTGGCCCTGGCTGGCTAACTGTTCTTGTAGTACAGTACCCAGGTGGCTTGCCACCTTCCAGAACTGACTGGCTTGTCTCTGGCTTGGGCATCTCTTCAGGATTCAGCCGTGTGTCATGCAAACGCACCTGCAGAAGAAGTCCCTCTGATGATGTATGGCCTCCAGCAGCCCAGCGCTCGGTGCAGATCCGAGAGGAAGTTCCTATGCTGGTGGTGGGTATATTTTTATTTATTCCTTTTTGCATATATACATTGTCATGTATAATTAATGCTTCCGTAGTGGGTTTTTTTTGATCTTGCATGTGATTTTTATTTTTCCCATCACATCCCCCTCGCCTTAGCGTATGCCAGTTTATTTCATATTTTTCTCCTCTGAGGCAACCATCCTCCCTCCCCATCTCTCTCCCCCTTCAGTTTAGACCACTCTCTCAGCTCCCTGCAATATAGGCCATCCTCCCCTCTCTCTCTTTCCTCCCTCCATCTCCCTCCGTAGCTCTTTCCCTCCCCTCTTCCCTCCCTCCCTTCTTTCTCAGTATAGGCCACCCCCTCATCTCCCTCTCCTGTCAGCAAAGCAGTTTATCGGCAGTTGCAGTCTCATCTATCAGTCCAATTCATCTTTCCCTGCAGCCTTTGGGGGAGAGCGAGAGGAAAAACCACAAGCTGCCTTCCTAAAGAAACCAGTGGCAGCCACGGGCATTAATATGAGAAGCTTGGGAAGGTGTCGTTTTTCACTCAAGCTGACATTTAAGCTGTTTCATAAATATGAAATCAAACCAAGGGCCCAGATGGGCCTCCACCCCCTCCTCTTTTGACTAAGAGTGCCTGTGATACTCTCTTCACCAGCTTAAAACAAGGGGATGACAGGAGCAAATCCCTGGGGGATGAAGGATAGAAGGAGCGACTGTTCTCAGCAATGGCACCTGTGATGTTTACACTAGTTTCAGCAAAGAGCCACCAACCAGTTCGGCAGAGCCATCAGTCACTATTGGTAGTGGCAGGTTTTCTGAGGTGGGATTTCCCACTGAGTGCACAAGGCAATGGGGTGGATATTTTCCCTGCTATCCCCACAAGGGATGGTGGATCTCTTTACACCAACAGCTCTCTTATCACTATAACACCTTTTCACACACATGCAGAGCCTGATTTCAGGAGAGATGGGGGTATAAATCTCTGTTTCTGGTCCTTTTTAGAAATCTGGCCTTTCTTACACCATCCCAGTCTCTATGCAGCCTGTGGTACCATCACAGGTGTGCAACACCTTGAGCACAGCGGATCCCTGGGAACAAACACAGGTTTTAGGAGAATTTACTGGACCAGCTGGGAGGCCTGCAACCTTACCC